CCTATGAACGCACGTCGTTCCGTCGTGCCGCTGTTGAGCTGAAATATACACCTTTCCGGCTCTCCGACAAGTTGGAAAGTTTGTAGTACAATTATCGGGATGCTCGTATACAGCATCTAAGTAAAAACACTTGGCGGCAGATTGAACGATCACCACTAACGTGGTCTACTTCACTTTCCAGGAAGAACTCGAGGGAATTTATTTTTAAAGTTGGAAAGATTAACTTTTCTTTCTCCCGAGTTCTTCTCGGGAATTTCAGAAGAATACTCCTCTCTCTCTCTTTCGTTATCGATCAGATTGCTTCTCCACATTCGACATCGGTTCGAAGTAGAAACACCATTCGTGCACACGAATGATGTTTCTAAAACATCTTCAAAAAAACATCTTCAAAAAACTCTTTAATGAGAAATAAACGCTATTCAATTAAAGTTTATATTACAGTACTAATATAAGTAATTAATTCATGTATATTTTTATTGACATAGAGGCCTTGATTATTGAAATAATAATTTATGCCTTTATGTCAATAAAAATATACATGAATCACTTAGTCACCACCGTATTAACAATGAATTAATTGATGAACAATTTTCTACGTAAAATTTAACAAATCTTTTTATCTTAGTTCATAAATCGAAATCAAATTAATATTGATTGATTTTTCAATTGCTGCCTTGAGAAGATCGTTTTATCAATGCTGCATTGATAAAATGTCGATCCTTTTTCGAAGCTCAATAGAATTTGATATCGACTTGTAAATGTTGACTTGCTAATCTTACTTTCGTATGGATTTTATTATTCGGAATTAAATTGTTATTACCTAATATCCAAAACCCTCCAACCTGGAAGGATTCATACATATATCCACTCGATATATGGGGACCTAACGCCAGTTTAACGTCGAATCCGAATATGGTACAAACTGCGAAAAATCGCGTATGCGGGGCGCAAGTGGGATCGAACTCGGATCTACAGATCGCGAATCAATCGCATTGAGCAGTGAGCCACTCGGCGCCCCAAAGTTTTGCTAAAGTATCAATGTAAAGTATAACTTTAGATACAAATCTGATAATATTTTATTGGACCATTTAAAATAATTTTATAGATCGCTCAAGCTAGTTGCTAGAATATCAAAATTTTTTATGACATTATTCGTCATGCTTGAGTTTCTTACATAATTATTTTGGTCCAACAAAATTATTTTCAGATTTATTCCTAGTTAAAATTTTAAATACTTCAGCAAAATCGTTCTTTCAGTGTAGATCTAAAACCAATTTTGTTAGATCATTAAAATAGTTATGGATGTTCAAGCTGATTGCTAGAATCGAGTCGAAACTTTTTGCAACGTTGCTCTTTATGCTTGTTTCCTACATCATCATTTTATTAAAGTAAAAATACTTAGTTTTTGAGGAGGATTAAAGTGTGGAAAAAATTATTTTCAATTATCTGCATTTACCTAAAAATTTAGGTACGAAGTACGACAAAAACTAAGTACTTTAGCAAAATCGTTTTTTCCATGTGTCGTTTGTCAAAATGTTTTTTGTAAAAAAAAAGCGAAATTCCGTGCGAAACGGAACGCAAACATAAATTTTTTTCGGGGATCAACGATTAATCAACCACTCGGTACACCAGAATAGTAAAAGTGATGAATGTCGGATTGGAGCAACACTCGATGGCCTCATCGCGAGAAGGTTTTTATCGATACAGACGCCGTGATACACGAGGACAATGCATGCGTGCGTGCGTTATACGCAGCCAGCGATCAGGGAGCGCATATGCATTTCGACGCAGCGTAGCCTCGACACGACAACAAAATTAGCGCTTCCATATCGCCCATCCGCAGCAATATCCATCGGCCATTATTCGCCGGTCAGACGATAGTCCGACATAATAACTGTCCATTAGCTCGGCAACGTCGGTACGTAACGCGATTCGATGAAGTATCGCCGTTAATCGAGTTGTGAAATTTACGTAAATTGAATTGACGACGATGTATCGGCTTGTTACAAAATCTCTGCGAGCTCAGGGAGAGATTCTTAGAGAAAGGATCGTAAAATTGGAGAAATAGTATAAATCCTCCGTAACAATAAAATATATTTTTCAATAATAAACTCCTCATTTTTCTTAAATTTCTAAAATTTGATATCTAAAGTGTATCCTCTTAATAATCTCTATAACACATTTTGGTGTATTATTTTATTAATTTCTAATAAAAATTATTTATTAAAAATTTTATAAGGATATTTTTCGAAATGCTGAAATTTCAGAAATTTAAAAAAATGAAGAGTTTATAATAG